ATATATATATATATATATATGTGTGTGTGTGTGTGTGTGTGTGTGTGTGTATTTATGTGTGTGTATATATGCATGTGTGTGTGTGTATAGTTATTTTATTAGCCCAAGTGTTACTATGGTTCAGACCCTGAAAAATACTGTTCTCTTATTCTTGGGTATGTTATTTAGTAAAAGGAATTTAGGACAGTTAGGCTAGAGAATGGGACTTACGCATGAGGTGATAAAGTAGAGATGTTTTGTTTTTCACCTCATAACAGGAGCAATTGGACTAAAAGCTCTGAATATGTACATTTTTTTCAGCCTAAGTTATGATGGTAGGCTGCAGGTGAATTTCAATAAAATTCTAATCACCAACCGAAAAGCTGTCGGCATTTGATTACTGAGGACTCTCAGAACCATTATCCTCACAGGTTGGACCCATTCTTTTAGGCGGGCAAATGCAGCTCTGGTTGAGAGGGTTATAGCAAGCTCTATGGGCACACTGGTACTTCAGAGCAGTTAGGTCCAGAATGGCCTGGTATGCATTCTGTGAGGGGAAAATAAAAAATAAAAGCAATTCAAATGTGCTTTTCAAACACAACATCTTCTTATCACTTCTTGGAATTTAACAGGATAATGACAGACTTGTAAAAAAAAAATTCTCTTTTATCAAGTGTTTTCTTTTTTTCCTAAGCTAGAATGTTATATAACAAAAGCAAGCATGTCAATGGGAAAAAAAGAGGGTAGGGAATAACAAGGAAGTTAGTGACAAAACTGAAAAGAAGTCAGGAGAGAAATAGATATTTTTAAAGTGCCTTCTCTGAATTAGATTATTCAACAGCATTTATAGTAGCATAGTGAGGGACACAGGGAAAAATGGATTAGTCTCTTTGAGGTCAGAAAAAGGCGATATTCACCTTGCATGAGCAAGATGAGATTTGTCTTCAGGTTAAAAACACAATTATTTGTGTTTCTATTGTTGAAAGTAAAATGGCTTTAAATTAAATTCTTTGTCTCTTAGCAGGTGTCAAAAGAGCTATCCTCTGTATGTCCACTGTTGTCAAAGCAGATGTATCTACTAACGGACCCAGGTGATTTTTCCAGTTGAATTTCACAGCGCTTGAAACCAGTAGGGAAATTGAAGTGGGAGAACAAAAAGCCTTAGCTCTATTAATAAATAAATATGGATTAAAAGGGACCAGCCTGGATGTTTGCTCTTGGTCTGATACCCAGAGGAGAATTAGTAGAGAATAAAGATTTGTTTTATTTATTTTTAAAGGATTTTTAGGATAAGAAGAAAGCCCAAACCACAGAAGAGAATTTGATTCATATTTCTTTGTCAGTCAAGCAGGGCTGGGAAATAACTCAACTTCACAAAGTTTAAGGAAAGTTAACTTTACAATCCTAACAATCACCTACTTTGATACAATTAAAGTAGGTTCCCGCTCCATTATTGTAGTTGGTTCTAACAAACACCTGTGAGATAGGCAAGGCAGTGAGGTAAGTTCTCTCATTCTATAAAGAAATAAACTGAGTTTTGATGTAGCATAAGGTATCTGCTCCATTGTTACACCCTGAAAAATGGCACAGTTGGTTTCTGAATTCTCTTCTGTTGCTCTTTTCTCATTCTCCCACACTATGTGGTAAGATGCAAGGTATTAAACGTATGAAGAAGAAAGCTCAAAAAAGAATGCAGAAGGTTGGAAAGTGAAATTTAGGAAATAGCAACAGAGAATTGAAGATATGGTAGCAGAGAACATTCTGAGCCAGTGGGCAAAATTTTGTTAAATATTTCTGCATTGTCTCAATAACAGCTGGGTTCAAGACCAGTTTCTCATAAATATTCCATGAGCATTTGGATGCTTTTTTCTTTAAATTTCCTGCATCATGAAGGTGGGTTAAAGTATGGTCTAGCTGTCTTGTCCTAATTAACTAACTACATTTTAAGTACGAAGTAAACTAATTTTTCAATTGATTCTTCCTATAAAGAAGCAACATAAAAGACAATAATTAAATCTCTTCCTCAGTGAAGGAATAGCAGTTTATTTCTAGAGTAAGTTTTAAAGTCAATGCAAGTGAATCTCTCTAAATATTAAACTCTAAAAAAACTGAGTCATTTCAAATTTATCTCAAACCTAGTGTGTTACAAGATTGCTTAGTTTGGTGGTAAGACCATGTTTCTTGTTTAAAAGGGAGTTATTAGTCAGGATCTCCCCTGAGTGGTAAAGAATCTGATTTTAATTTATAAAAATACCACATTTTCATGCTAATAATGATATGTATTTAAGACATCTGTTTGAATGTCTGCAAATGTTAATTTACCAAGGGGGAGGGAATAATCCAGTAACAACTTGTTACATTCTTTTATGAATTAATATTATGGCTGTTTAATAGGTCCTCTACCAGAGTCCAAGTTAAATCGAGGTCTTTTATCTTTATGGCGCCAGCATCGATGCAGCTGCTCACAGTTAATATTGCAAACGAACTGTGCCTAATTGAAAATAAAAATGCGAATAAAAGACCTTGTAGCGCATCTGTGTAGGCTGACATTACTTTAAGGGGCTTGTGACAAGAGGAACCTTGAAATATCCATGGAGAATGCATATATAATACATATGACCCAGAGTCATGTGACAATTTCTTTGTGGTCAGGGACAGGCTATGTAATACAGGAATTTAGGCCATAGAAGACACGGTAAGTTTTTAATTAGCACACCGTCCACAAGCTTTCTTTGCTTAGTAGCTAGATTTAAACTACTCTTGAATGGTGTCCAATAGAACTTCCTGCAACAAGGGAAATGTTCTATATTGTGTTATCCAATATGGTAGCCAACAGCTGCATATGGCCACTGAGCATTTGAAATGTGCCATGTGTGCCTAAGGAGGTGAATTCTAAGTAAAATTCAATTTACATAACAACATGTGGTTAATGAATACCATGTTGGGTGCTCAGAGAAATAAGCAAACTCCATTCCTATTCTTTTTTCCCTCTTCAGAGGTGATAGGATGGGATATTAATTCTGACTCTGAGCACAGATTGTTTCAAATCCCAAATCTGCCACTTACTATACAATAAAAACACCTACAATAAACTAAAATGTAAAATAGATTTCAATAGATATGAATGGTTTTCTCCAATATTCATGAAGTACCATAAATGCAGTAAGGATTCTACTTTTAATGATGAATCAAAGATGATGTGTAATGTGCATTTTTTCCCACAGATTTATTGTAGTTATGACAAGATTGTATCATGACTTCATGAAGAAGGATGAGAAAAGGAGCAAGAATTCTTTCAACAAATATTAATTAAAAAATTAAAAGCCAGCATGAGAGAAGTTTATAAGCAGTGAGATTTAAATAATTACAGCTCTCAAAAAGCAAAAGATAAAACCAAACAAACAAATCCATATCTGTAAACTGCAGATTGGAAGATCCCAAAGAATATTCACAATTCCTTGGTGATAATTCTACAAGTCTGTCAACAATGCAACCTGAAGGGATTGAAAATAAAAACAGAGTTCTTTCTTTCTTTCTTTTTTTTTTGGTACTGGGGATTGAACTCTGGTCCTTGAAATTGCAGGGGAGGCCACCGAACTGCTGAGCTAAATCCCTGGCCCCTGGCCCCCAGAGTTCTTTCTTTAACCTAGTCTACATACTAACATGCACACAACACAGTGTTGTCCACTGATGCCACAGCATAAAGCCTGGAATGACTACCTAGGTTTAAATCTTGGTCTATTACTTACTAACTTTCTGTGCTCCAGCTTCCTCTTCTGTCAGATAGGAATAGGAATAGTGGCAATCTCATAGGTTTGCAGTAATGACTGAATGAACAGAAGCAAACTGGATAGATGCTGATTTGCCAAGAAAACAGCAATTACTGCTCTTGCTTGGAAGCAAGCTTGAATGAAGGGGTGGGGCTAGTGAACTGTGATAATCTGTATGGTTATTGTGACTTTCTCACCATTATTGAAGTCCAAAATTACAGTGTCACTGATTATTAGTACATGAAATGATTTCAGAAATACATAGTGACAACGCTCCTCTATTAGAAGATAAGGAAAATAAATTCCGAGATTAAACACTACTCTGTATTGTCACGGGGAGGACTGGTTCTTTGGGTCTGTTGTGAATAGTACATAAGTTTCCCATCTGGGAGGCAATTGTTAAGTCTGACAGCAACTGATTAGTTAACAACCCAATCTACTCTCTCTTCTTCTTAGGTCAGCTCCTAAAGAAGTAGAACTTTACATTTCAGGTCATCCTTCTGTGAGTTGAAAGGAAAATAAGTATAAATTCCAGTTCCCAAATATGACTTTGGAGCTTGACACTCAAGAATTCCTCCTGGATTATACCTTATAATTGCCTTCATTCTAGTGACTCCTGTGAGTCATTGTTGTGATCAAGCTGTTTAGTTCTTTCTCTCTGAGGTTTGTTCCATATACCCTTTGTCAACCAAGGTGCTGAGGTGGGGCGTCTGGGGAGTGACAGCTACAAACCTGACTCATAATGGGCAATGAAGAAACCAACCTTAAGTATGTTTATCAATAGCACACAGTTTCTAGAATACAATTATTGATAGATCTCTGTATAAACACAAAGTAGAGCGGTGTCCTTAGGGGCTTTGACTCTTACCAGCTTTACATTCAGCTCCAGTTCTGCCTGGTGGGCAGAGGCATTTTCCAGTTACTTGGTGGCAAGGGTTTTCTCCTTCACAGTTACAAAGGTGATGACAATTGTGTCCAAACATCCAGGCTCCTACTCTACCAAGGAAAGAGAAATGCTGAAAAATTAATCTTTTGGGCTTTTACTGGTGCATCTAAATTGAGATTACAGATAAAATTTCCTCAAGATTGAGTTGCAGATAGCAAAAAATAAGATGAAAAATGGCATTTTCTGTTCAGAAGAAGACAGTAACGTTTTGGAATATCTAAGAAATGAAGTTCATTCTGTATCTGATTCACCACTAGTTCTTAAAATCAATTCACTTTGACACTGGTTCATATTTTCAGCACTTAGTAAACTGTCTGAAGACAGGAGCGTAGAGAAAGAGATAATGTTTAATAACTAAGTGTACTAGTTGTAATGCTTTTTCAAAAAGTAATTTATCATGTATCTCTGTAGAAGATTATAAGCTCTATGGATCCTACTATATTTCCAGAATTTAACACAGAAACAAGCCATGATCATGGTCATTTTACAGAATTACTAAATAATAAATAAGTTGAAATAAAATATATAGATTTATGACATCTGAGAGTATGATATGGAACTAATATATAGACTACTTTTAAAGTAGAAGAAAATAACTTTGACTCATTACAAAAAGTTTCATTCTTTTTTTCTTTTTATTGAGTTTATTGGTACTTTTTAGATATACAGTACAGTTATATTCATCATTGGGATCTCGTACCTTTACATGACAGGTCTTGCTTCTGATTTTTTCCCCTTACCACTGACTTCCCTTCACTCCTTCCTCCCTTCCCTATTTACAAAAACTTTATTTCCATTTTTTTCATTTTCTCATAGTTTTTAATTTTCCCTTATTTCCTTTCCCCTATCCTTCCCATTTTTCCTATACCTTTAGCCCTTTTCTTCCTATTTCACATTGTCAATTATGCAATTAGGATCTTATTTACAATTATAGTTTCTCACAATAGATAAATTATTTGGGATTTTTTTCATTGTTTATTGGTACATTTTAGGTATATAGTACAGTTACATTCATCATTAGGATCTTGCACCTTTACATGACAGGTCTTGGTTCTCATTTTTTCCCCTTATCCCTGTTCTCCCTTCACCCCCTGCTCTCCTCCCCATTTACAAACATTTTATTTCCTTTTTCTCATATTTTTTTCTTTTCCCTCATTACCTTTGCCCTACCCTTCCCACTTTCCCTACAACTTTAGCCCTTTTCTTCCTATTTCACACTGCTAATTATCTCATTAGGATCTTGTGTACTGTTATAATTTTTCACACCAGAGAAAGTGTTCGGTATTTCACGTGTGTGACTTATTTATTTCACTTAGGAGTATATCCTCAAAACATTATCATTATGATTGTTGCAGCCATGAACACAAAAATGTACAAAATACAGGTTAAAATGGGACTTTGACCATTTTCAGACTAGGAAAAGGAAATAAGGGGGACAAGACAGGGGAGGCATAAAGGTAATAAGGGAGATGAAATGTGCTATACTCATGTAAGCCACACTGAAAATATATTGTAAAATTAATATCCACTAATAAAATATATTTTAAAAATTCTTAAATGGAATTCTTATTTAGTGATGAGTTATTTCGACAGGCAACATTTCCAGTAGACACAATTAGTGATTTTTAGAGTTGTGTCATATTGTATTTCAAATTGAATGGAACAAATTCTCACCTTTATATCTTCATACACACACATAGATGTGATTACTTTCTAGTGATAAATGCTTACTCCATGTCTTTCAATATTTTCATAAATTATTTGTATCAGTTTTAGTAGTTGAATCCAATATGTACACCAATCTTAAGGAAATATTTACTTTCATCCAGATGTAGACTCTTTACCTATTGAAGCTGAACAATTTTAATGGAACTTTGAGACTTTAAATAATTCCATTAAAGGCAAATAAGATTTTTGACCATCAGCAAAAGATTAAATGGACCCATATTGGGCCATTGAATGAATTGTTGTGTTAATGCCAAAAAATTTAGGTCATTGTTTTCATATCTGTTTGGCTTTTTTTAAATTGAGTTTATTGGTACATTCTAAGAATACAGTAAGTTACATTCATCATTGGGGTCTTGTACCTTTACATGACAGGTTTTGGTATCATTTCATGTTTTTAATTTGGGTTTACACCTTTGCTCCTCTATGGAAAGATCTCATCAGAGTCTTCACACTCACATGCTTAAAAATGCTCTGACTGTACCTTTCTTGCACTGGCTGCCATGGAAACATGGAAGACAAATGCACTGTCCACTCACTGCATCACAATTGGCTCCATTTGTGCAGTCACAGATGTTAGAACAATTCAAACCAAAAAAACCAGGTGGGCACACTGGAAAATGGAAATGTCAAGATGCTACTGTAGCTTTAAAGATAAATAAAATAGGAATCATAATATGCTCTTGGTCATATTTCCCATTACAAAGGAGGAAAATGTAGGCAAGAATTTGAAAGTAAGGTAAGAGGCATATAAACAAGAGTTCATTGATATGAATAGCTAATTCAAAAGTGCCATTCTCTACAATTAGTCTAGGAAAATCCATAAGAAAATATGAAATACCTCAAATGGACAAAGTTTGGTTGCTGTGCACAGTGTGCTGTACTTGGCCAGAGCTTAAAACCCCAACACACCCTTAACACTTTAAGACAGTGTTCAAACATCAGATCCAGGCTAAATTTAGTGGCACTAAATTTTGAATTAACATTTTAAACAATTAAGCCTGATTTTATAGAAGGTGATTCATACAGCATTTTTTTTTTTTGAGCAAGGATTGAACTCAGGACCTTGCACTTGCTAGGCAGGTGGCAAACCACTGAGCTAAATCCCCAGCCCTCATACAGCTTTTTAATATTTGAAGTCCTGGGGAGTTAGCCTGCAGCTCTCACCCCAGCCCCCAACCTCAGCATGCTAAGAGGTGGAGCCATGCACGTGCATGCAGGGCCACCCAC